AAGGGAAGACCCTTTTAACTAGCCAGAAGCTTAATAATTGAGTATTCTGAAATTAAACTTCTGGCCTGCCATGCAGGATTAACGCCCACTATCATCTCTGATATGTCAAACTGTTGACTTTAAACGTTTCATCACAGCGAAAAATATAGAAATGGCTAATAGTTTTACAAGAAACGGCTGGCCGCGCTTGGACCAAAGAAGAGTACCATCGAACGGAGAGAAATCCACCGGTGAACAACAATGGGCTGTGCAGAGCGCCGGTGATGGTGGAACTGTTACAATTCCAAAGCTGCCTCAGATAAACGTGTGTTCTCTTGTGGAAACTAAAGTGAAGTCAGATATTCAAAACACAGAAGTAAATCACCTAAAGGCATTTGATCCTTCTTCGACAATCTGCAAGAAAAGCTTACCTAGTCGTCTGCAACGTATTTCAGATTCAAAAATCCCGTTTGGAAGGATAAAGAAACCGGAAAGCCGAGACCAAGAGAAAATTGCAAATCTTAGCGCTGTTACAGGCCGAACTGATGATAATTCCATCCTTGAAACTCATCACCAGTATGGACAGCTTCATTTCGTAAACCAAGGGAAAGCGAAAATTGCACCGGTCGCGACAAGTGCATCTCAAAGATCAGTATTTTCAATACATTGGCAAATCAAAGCAGGACGGAAATACAAAATTCAAGATAGCCAGATGTCCTACGAAGAGTTGCTCGTACTTGATGAAAAAATGGATAAAATGAGCGATTTTACATCAACAGAAAAGGAATTGCACCTAAAGGATTTTTATGGGAGAAAAATCAACCCAAGTCACAGAAGAAAGCCTGAAAACAACGATATAACGTCTTATATTCCGTGGTTTGCGTTTCAAAAAGATGAGCAAAACAACAGTGGCATTGAACGCAGATCCTTAGCAAACAATTCTGAAAATAAACAGGTCTTAAACAGGGAAACAAGGGCTCGAGTTGAAGGGCGTTTTCTCGAAGCTTTAGATCTCCATTTCTATCATTATTACCTTAGAGTTCGTCCCGGAAGAAGACTGGCAATTTGCGACGAAATCGAGCGAAGAATCTTCATTGACAACGTTTCTTTGTCGTGGTACAGGGATAACTTACGCCTTCGAGAAATTTTGGATTCATGGATGCTATAATTAAACTGGGGATTCGGACGTACACTGAATTGTCTCAAATGTCGGTGCATAAAGACGGAAAAGGCAAGTTACTTTCAGCCGGGACGAATTTGAAAGGAAGGAAAGTTAGAACTGTCTTCTTCCTGCGTTGAGTAACTTTTGAATACAGTACAGTCATAATTAGATAAAGATGCAAACGTCACTAGTTTCTTGTAAAATTATCCCTGGTTGAAATTATACTATACTACAAACTATTGATAACGTATCTTTGGGCTAAAAATATACATAACCGACAACAAACTACTAATTCGAATTTGGATGCGCTTGAATTCTATAGCAGTAAAAACGTGACCCTTTGCCCAAGGCTCGCAAAAAAGCAATACTTTTCACTCTCATCAATTCTTCCTCGTTTTCTAACAGTTTAAAGCTCATTTTACGAATTGCATTCATTTATCAAATGCTGTTTCCGGCATTTTATTTTCAAGGACTTGTTATCTGTGTGGGTTTATTGACTTGGCCTGTAAATATTAAACATTGATACACAAATCGCTCCGCGAAAGTAGATACGAAAAATATTGTCAGTCAAAATCAGAGCTGGCAATCGGTTTACTTCTCTTATCAATAAAAGTACGAGTTATCAATTTTTTTCCCCATTGCTTCCCTTTTTCCTTCTTTTTGCACTTCACTGAATGCGATGTCGAAAGAAAATATTTTAAAATTTCGTGTTTAAATGCCTTAGAAAACTGAAGAAAAAAAAACCACTTAGATTTAGCAGCTGCTAGTCAGTTGCTAATTCAGTTTTGATCCGGATATTTGAAATTTCGAATCTTCGAAGGAAAAATAAAATGTCAGATTCGTGCAAGAATAAGAAAAGAAAAAAAAAACCAACATCTGGAATGTATGATACTGAGTAAAACCTTATTGTATAACCGTAGCTAACCATATGGAGTTACGAATACCCTGTTAATAGAACCCTGTGAATATCTTTCTTTGTGACAAAAGAGTACGTCATGCACATTCATGAACTAAACTCATCAAGTTTGGTTCGTCTCATGAAAAGTTCGACGTTTGGCCTAGGCCTTAGATCGAGTTTAAATGACGTCACAGCAGCCATATATGAAACGGCGGCCATCTTGGTGCACAAAGAAGAACAAATCCTGTGGGAATTGAACTCTCTGCTTTCTTTTGTCGCAAGAAATTTGCATAGCAGGTGACCACGTGAGCGAAAAAGATCAATTATTTGGTTTTCTTTTCTGTTTCTTTACTACAATTAACAGTAAATTAAAGGAAACGGGTGAAAACTGCGAACGACGTTTTAACCAATTTTGGGCATTGTCAAGTTCCATGTGCCAACGAAAAATTAACAAGATTGGACCCACGAGCGGTGCAACCGGCCTTAATAAGCGGTTTTTGCCGTACTCAGTTTTACTGTTAAAAGCTGCGTTAAGTATTTTTAAGCTCTTTTCATTGTAGTAAAGTACCTTTCGGCTTTGTTAGGCAACAGAAAAATACACAATTTACATTAAAGGGTTGCCATACTGGGCTAATGGAATTGTAGATTCAATATATCGACATGTAGGAAATCTTAGCTTTATTCGTCCGAGATCTGTTTACAAGGCAAGAATCGTTTAAGATTGATATCTAAGATACGACTGAGATTTGAGACTTGAGCCTCACTTCAGAGATTTGGTTCTTCGACTAAAAGAAAACAAAAAAATATAGCGAAAGTAAATAGAGAGAAAACGAAATAAAAATACTAGAACGAAAATAATAGTCACAAGATTTGCCAATATGCAGGAAACGTGAAAGAAAATTCGACGATAACAAACAATAACATCAATCTGAGAACATTGTTGATCTGTTGATGAGTTTTTGCGAGCACATGGGCTTGCCCATTATAGTCACGAAGATGACGTACGCGATTCCTTCCCAGTGCCGGCGGACAGGAAAACTAAACTCGCGAAATTTTTTACCCTACAGAAATTATAGTGCAGTTTTGGGTGGTATGGACAACTGGTATGGACACATCAACTTGTCAATGCTGAGGTCCCCGGCTTTGTTGGCATGTCAAGCACAGCGGTTTCTTTAGAAACGAGCCATGCTATTTGAACAATACTTACACAAGTACGAATAAACAAAAGCTTATTATTGCTATTACTCAACTTCGAAAAGTACCGCGTATAGAACTCGCTAGACGGTGGTAATATCGCAAGACGAGACTGGGTTCACTAAAAATCACGTAACTCTGAATCTCCCACAGGTGACTGGGCGATCTTTCTTTGCGACTTCACCATCTTCTCAGTCTTCTGCCCTCCGTCAGTGCTACCACGAGATCCCACTAATTTGAAAACAAGTAGTGTTTTGACAAACAAAGAAATCCATGATCAAACAATAAAAGGAATAACTTTCTCAAAATTGATTGCATTCTATAATCCCTGCTGTACAGAGAGTATTCCCAAAGGACTCTGGTTACTAAGTTCGATTTACAACTTTTTGAGCTGACTTTGATGAATCACTCTTGCTCTAATTACGCGCAATTAACACACCGAAAAGCCAAAACATTTTTTCGAACAACGCTTTGATTGATGTCGTTGTTATGGAGTGGCGAACCAAGTCAAAACAAATCTTAAGCAAATTGATATTGGAAGAGGACGAGGGTGCAATGAAGCCGACGATAAGGTAAAGTACTCTTCCATTCGTTGATCATTTTCACACTCTTAAACCTTACAATACATAAGTGCTCGGTTTATATTTACCAAAAACAAACATTCTATTAAAAAATAAAGGCCATTGAATGTTTAAACTTGTCTACAAGTCGACTTTGCGAGCGACGAAAAGGGAAGACGTTTCCCTTTTGACCATGATCGAACTAAAACCAAACCGGACTATACGTACTGAGAAAATGTTTAGTGGGCTATTACAGGAAAGGGATAGTATTGGGGGGGTGCTGAATCAGTGTGTAATATTTGTCCTTTGAAACAAAGTTTACATGAAATAAGACATGATCGGAAAAAGTTCAGCTGCAAGTTAAATCGTATGTTGCTTAATCATCACGCTTCTTCGTTAAGTCCTCTCTATGACATTTATATTGTACTATACGGACAGAACCAAAATCTTTGTTCCAGTTAAAATAAATGAATTAGTCCCTTGCAATTATCATAAAAGACTGAGATCCATACGTGATCGAATAGTATATTGAAGCCATTCTGCGCTGTTACTAAACTTTATATATATTTTTAATTACTGACCTGAATTGAGGCTTAAAGTTACCAACAGCCAGCGTCGTGACAATACTTACGACCACGCACGGAAATCTTGATGTACATAATACGCCGACCTTTTCAAAAATAGTTTGTGGAAGATTACACCCACGAAAGTAATTAAACTGACGATGCAGTATACTTCTCGCGTCCAATTTACGAACGAATTTTCCTTTAGACGAATTTTGAATTCACGGGATATTCATCCGACTACTTTGACCTGGGGTACATTTGCATTTTCTTGTATTTATTTTTTTTGTTATTCTGATTAAATCTAGTTTCTGTTCGGAAACTGAGTTGACAATAATATCAGTTTTGAGCAAAAATAATGGAAAATGATATAAAAAAGTTTCTCGTCAGGAAAATCGCACCTAGTTGCCTATTCAGCTTATCCAAGGACAAAACATATATATACCGGCCGCTTTCCTGCTTGCGGACTTCTAGACCCACAATGTTCTGTGCCATAATTGCGGCACCAAAAGAGCTGGGGCACCATGTTGAGCATGGGCAAACATTTCCTCATCATCACGTGCAATTCTATGGCCAAACTTAGCCGTATCAGGCATTCCTAAGGAGAATAAACAGAAATACCTTAATACAGAGATTAAGTTTGATTCTTTTTTTGCAGTACAATCTCAAGTGATTGGATCAAAGCGGAAAAGGAATTGAATGGATTTGTCATAGCAGAACATGAATTTCTTGGAGTTAAGCTCAAGACCTCAGTTATCGCCATCAAAAACTTAAAATCGACAAATGTTAAGTTCAGAATTCTTAATAAAATCGAATACGAGCCATTTATGGAGGAAAGCGAGAGGAGAGTTGCGGACATCGTGCAAGTCTTTCCAAAGGAATTCCTGTTTGATCCCTCAGCAGAGCTTGTATTAGATCTTCCAAGTTGCGTGGCTTCTAAGTCATGTGGACAGTTAGTCTGCCTTTACTGTTGTAATGCGTTGGTGCGACATGGAGTTAAACAGCTAAAATGGAAGCCGCTGGACTCTTTCTCTTTTCACGTAAATGAGAGCAGAACTGAAGCAAAAATCATTTGTAAGAAAAGTGGGCTCTACACAATTAAGGTCACCCAACATCCACAAGTTACCAAAAACCTGGATATTTACACGGAATGCGAGGTTGCCCTTAAGGAGTTTCCAGGGATTAAAATCAAATTTCCTGGTGGATGTGTAGCTCGGAAAACTCCTGTAACATTAGAAGCCATTAGCAACGAAGACTTGTATACTGTACCAACTCCATTATCAGCCTCCCCGAGATCACTCGGCTCCTGGCGGCCGCCACAGCGCTATAAACTGGAGGACCTCGACTCGACCGATATGGTTGACATTACATCCAGTCCTGTTGTTCTCATTCGTCCTTCAAGACTCCGTTTTACGCGCCCTGTTCAATTAACACTACCTCTACTTGGAGAAGATTTTGAGGACTTCTTTTCCAGAGAAAATACCAGGATTGCTGTGCTTCAGAGCAAAGTATTGGACGAAGAAACAGTTTTATGGAAACATCACTATAGCACACCAGAGGTAAGCGTTTTATTGTCAGTATAAATGCCCCGTAAAAGGATGAAACAAGTTACCCAAAATTACGATTTACAATAAGCTTATTAAGGTTTTTATAAATAAAAGCAGCGACCTGTATCATTTTGTGATAACAAGCGGTGATTAACAAGAGCTAACCGGAGAGCGTAAATTGTAAATTGTAAATTGTAAATATCTTATTATCCACTCCCCTCAGGGCTTTTCAGGGATAATTTACAACACTGTTTGGGGGACTTTGCCAGACTGCTTAAGGTGCAGTTTACAAGTAGTGAAGGAATGAGTAATGATGCCCCCATACATGAGTGTGAAAGTGAGATAGGCCACTACACCGGGCACTACGTGCCCTACTCTTTACGAAGAGTGTGTGGGTTCTTTAACGTCCCACAGATTTAATACATGTGCAAGGGCTTGTGAGACGGGGCCTACGGTTTATCGTCCTTATCCGAGAAGACTAGAGAGTCTAGCCGTTTGCAGATATTATTACAAAGGCAGCACTTTCTCCTCAGTTATTTAAAGACCCTGAGTGTTGGTCCGGCCGGGGTTTGAACCCGCGACCTCCCGCTCAGTAGACCGGCGCTCTCCCAACTGAGCTAACGAGGTGGCGGTTGAGCCAAAATAGCTACGGAGAAACTGTACATGCCAAAGTTTGAATAAATCTCAGGAGAGACCTTGGTGTCTTTCACGGTCCCTTTTACTCACAGGGGAACTGGACTACTGAACGTAGTTTTGAAAGTGTCTCTATTTGTTAACTTTATTCCCTTAAGATTGAGACTTCTGAAGACGGCGTCAAGGTGGCTTCATTCTTGATTACAAGAGGAGGCCTTTACAAGCTTGTGCGAAGGATATCAAACCAGAACCCGCGACACGTCGAACAGATTTCGGGTTGCATTTCAAGAGAGCTTTGTTACCATGCCAACAACAACTTTGTCACCACCTCGTTACGAGGTCTCCTAACTGAAATTGCGGAACCTGGAAAACAGTTTGTCTTAAGGATTGCCCTGTTTGATAGTTCTCAGCCTAAAAACGCTGACCCTTGCTTTATCTCTGAAGTCTGCTCTCAACCGCTGTCCCTGCCGCTTGGCAAAACACGATTTCTTGTGCGAGGCAGCTTTGAGCCCGATAGGGATGCCGCTGACCACACAGAAGAGCGTACCGTTATGTTCACGGGCAAGACCATGTTTGTGGATTTCTACTTGAAGTTGAGACTTAGTGATCCAACCAAGCTCCCCGGTGTCATTGGCAAGGTATCGGTGCACGGGGCTGGAGATGTGCAGTTCTACATTAACCTACACAAACCGATTCAGGTATGCTTCCACCCTTCAATTTCTTACTCCCATGGAAAGACATGAATTCAAAATTAAAGAGCTTGATCACTCCAAAATGACTGGTATATCTCATATCCCCTTTTTTCAAGTTTTCAATGAGCAAGGAAATGATAGACAGTCTAACTACAATTACATGAGACATGTTTGCATAATATAATAAACAAATCGACTTTTCACAGCAGGTGTTTATTCAGTTTGTTCGGTATTTTAACTATGCCTTTTCTAAACTCACCGGCGAGACTTTCAGTTATATGCATATGGACTTCAACTTATCACAGAGCCACTTTTACTTTTTATTCGTTTATACTTTCTAGATAAGGGAGCTGGATAATTTCAACGACAAGTCCAGAATTCGAGAGAAGAGGAGGAAACCCAAGCCCCTGATAAAGCGACAAACGGTAGCCGAATTTTCTTCTTTAAGAAAAATGGCAGAACTCGGTGAGTGAAAATCAATACCTCAACTAAAAAGCGTATTAAACTAATTCTGTAAGTCTTTCAGGTGTTACACTGCAGTTTGCGACGTGATCATCCATTATGTACTTATTGGGACACCAAGGAAAAAGTTCATTTCCGAGTTAACCAATATACTTTTTCTTAACATGTAAAGAAGTTTGAAGTCTTGAAAAAATAAATTATATTCTCGTGCAAATAAAAAATCTTTATCTCTTGAAGTAATTTCAAATTACCCTTGTTTTTAAAATAAGCAGCGCAAAGCCGGGGTAGTGGAAATTAAATTCGAACTGAAATAGCCCATAAATATTTCATCCCTTTGCCTGTTATTCACTACTCTCTTCATCTTCCAATAAATTAACTGATCAAATCAATTTTTAACTCGTTTGTTTTATTATCTATTCTTCTATTCGTTTGGTTGCCGTCACTTAATGATTCCTTCATCCATCCATCAATTCAGTTCATTAAATCAAAACTGTCTACCTTTACCTCTTGGTAGTTTGTGTAATCATTAGTAGCTGTCAAGTAATGAATTTTTTTTTGTACTTTCAATTTTTCAGATGATGACTATGTCTCTTCTTCTCCTGGTGCAAGTGGGATATTCCGCCGATCCCTTCCGATGCTTTCCGAGACACCTTTAGAGTTTTCCGAAATGCACTCGCCCTGCACGTCTCCTCCGCTTACAGCAACTCTGCCAGAGATCCATCACTCTAAGTCAAGTCAAACGCATAGCATTCAATTAAGTGAGTTCGAGGAAGACTGGGAAGAACTTAGATAGTAAGCTCTGAAGTCGAACTTTTTTCGTAAAGGAAGTGCCATTGCAACAAACATTCCTGTTTATGATTAATTTACTGGTTAATAAAACGTCACCAACTTGTATTTCTGTTCTGTGATTGTTGGTTATGGTCATGAAAGATGCTAGGTGAAGAAAGAATTGCACTGATTTCGTTTTTAGTATTTTTTAGTATTTCGGCAGTTTTCTAATTCTAGGTATCGTGAGAGCAACAGTGACTTTCCATTTCTACCAAAGACACCACATTCACTTCATCAAATTCAACTCATTTTATTTACTATTTTAGGAGGTTTAAAAGATTTAAAATTAACCCTAAAAAGAAGAAGAAATAAGAACAATAAATATTAAGAGAATACTATAGTTAGGGCCTGTTTACATTAAGGTGGGGGACCCCAGGTAGGTGAGGTAAATCGCTTAGGTGGGGTAAACCGCCTGTCCATATAATCTCTCATTTTAACTTGATCACGTTTACATGATAGGTGAGGTGACCACTATAAGAGATTATATGGACAGGCGGTTTACCCCACCAAAGTGAGTTACCCCACTTACCTGGGGTCCCCCACCTCCATGTAAACAGGCTCTTAGAGTAAACGTGTTTGCCATAACTAGGGATGCTGTTAAGTATGTATTCACACTTGCTTGCCTGGAAAGCACGAAAAAAATAATAATGCCTGTTCCGAGAGGATCCCAAATCCCGTTCATCTGCTTCAATCGCTGTTAATACTTTAATATATGCTGTTTCCTTAAGCGAGCTAATCCATGCAGGGATGCCTAGCTGGGCACGTGCAAGTTTACCGCGCGCAGATATGAATGATTGTGACGACAGCTGACGTCGTATGGCCGCGTAAAGAAGACGAAATCACCACTAAAAAGGGTGAATAAAATTAACACTCAACTAGCAAAAATGTCTTGTTGCGCAGCGAAAACAGCGGAAGATAGACTTGAACCTTACGAACTTCGAACACTGTACGTTAGGCAGATTAAAAGACTCGCTCAGAGGGGACTATTTGGGCAAGCTATAAGCGTGTTCAGAGAGGTGGGTTAACTGTTTTTCTTTTTCTCCTAGTTTTGTATGTGATAAGACAGTAACAGACAGTCAGTAACAACCAATGGTCGGGTTTCAAACACATTTCATCATTCCCGTAACGTATTTTAATAAATGCTCTACCCTTTTTGGGAGCGCTCTCCTTTGGAACAATTTACTTTGCGGCCATTCAATGGGAAATCTCTCGATCAAAACTTTCACTTAATTTCTTTTTGTGGATAAATACCTTCTGACGTTTTCCTGGTTTGTTTTGTAATGGCTGCAAGATCACCTTACTATCTTCCTTGTCTCTTAATTTGGTTTAAATCTTTAAAGTTAAAAACTTTTCTAGAAGCTCCATGGTATTTAATGGGATGAATAGAAACATTATTATTTAAATATTTGCATACTTTTATGATTATTTTCGTTAACCTTTTCATTTCCTTTTGCCCTCACAGCTCTCAAAAAACCTTGGAGTAACTGCTGCGACAAAAAGATTAAGTAATATGGCAATATCAGATCTTCTAAATGCCAGGGAATTCCCTGTTGATAGAGACGCATATCGATATTTAGATAGGTATGTTCCCTTTCATTACCCATCAGTGAATGTCTTGGCTACAAGCAGTCATTTCCAATACGACCGCACTGTTAAGGACCGTAAAGAGCAGTTGACGGATCGTACGCTCCGTACAAACCGTCAGCACTGCTAACAGTCCGTATATTCTGAGCACATATAGCGTGTTTCAGGCTTCGAGACATTTCGCTGAACTGAGAAAGAGCGAACTCGAAAATAAAACGGGAGGAAACTGGGGAGAGCAGGGGTGGCGGTTCGTCTTCCCCACTATCTGAGAGCCTGGAACAGGCTAGAGCACATAAGAAGAGTGCATCTCATTATTACATCAGGGTACAGTGTGTTACGGTTCGTTCGATCAGTGCGGATCGTAACGGTCCGTATGTTTGATTGAACGGATCGCGAGTTCCTCGTTATATGAGCCATAAAGCTGAACAAGCACACTCGAAATGTAATATTCCTTGCTCTATTATCCATAGAGCTAAACAAGCACACTCTAACAGTAATATTCTAGTGTTCTATAAGCAATAGAGCCAAACAAGCACGCCCCAAATGTAATATTCCTTGTTCTTGGCCATAAAGTGCAACGAGCATATCCCAACTTACAGTAATGTTTCGGGTGCGACTTTCTCTTTTTGTACTAAATATTTCGTAGACCAAAACCTGATCAAACGTAATTTGACTTTTTAACATTCAGAGTTAATGGTCGTCTCCGGGGACTTAAAGTTTCATCAGCAAAAAGCAAGAAAAGCATATTTCATATCGTCAGCAAATACATAAAAGTCAAACTTTTTTGAAGAATTGAAAATATGAATTTTAAGAACGGCAGAAGGACTCAATGCAGAGCCTTACTTGAATAACAGGCGACTTACAAGAGGAAACTTTAATTTTCGGAGTAACTTCATTTCTGCTGAAAAGATAGTCGTTCTGATGTTGTAAACTATTGTTAGTTAGCCTAAAGTCACTTCAAAATAATTCAAAAAGAAAAAACAAAAGAACTTAATGTTTAATAAGTGTCTATATATCTGATAAAGACACACTCCAACTTTTTACCCCCAAATCTAAATTTGGCGGTAATCCAGAGATTTTGCAGCCGTTCAAAAAACTCGTTTTCGAACAGTTCATCCTCGTTCCCAAGGTCCTCTCTAGCTCGTCCATACTGAGCGAAAGAGGACCCTGGGAACGACAATCTGAGCAAAGAGGCCTGGAAAAAAAAGCTTGTTGTTGGAATAACCTAGAAATAATTCCATATCCTCTCAATTTCATAAAGCTAGTTGCTTGTTTCGGTACTGAAGTTGTTGTTGGTATTGCTTAATTTGCTCATTCTTTTATCTTTGCGTTAATTTTCAGGCTTCACGAAGCTCTTTTCTTTAAAAACGAACGCCAAGCCAGCCACATGTGTAACCTGTTCATAAAACATTTCGATTTCGATCCACCAAGTGATGTTGCAAACGATTTGGAAGAAGCTAATAAAGAGACACTGGCAAAGTCCGGTTTGTCAGTCATAACCATATGTGGAATGGATTTATCATCAAAGAAAAAACTAAAGAAGCTTAAAGAGTTGTTGTCAAGATGTCCTGAGGTTAAGAAGATAGACTTGGTGTTCTGTTCCCTGACCAACGAACGTCTTCTCGAGTTATTTGAGGCAATAATGAACCTGAAATGTTTACTCTTTTTAGGCAAGTGGCTGATATGTTCTGAAAAGGGGACAGCGTGGCCGAGCGGTTAGCGCGCCAGAATTGCAATTTGGAGGCCCCGAGTTCAATTACCCCCCGAACTGCTAGCGTGGCCGAGTGGTTAGAGCGAGGCCACGAGTTCAATCCCCGGCCAAACTACTCGCCAGGATTTGTTCTCGGTAGTTCCGAGTTGAACTCCTCGTTACCACTTGTAAATAGCTAACTGGTTTGCCTCCGGCCAGTCGGGATTTTTCACTTTTTTGTGCTTATTTCAATTATTTGTTTCTGCCGTATATGTGGGCCACAATGCGTTGCCCATTGGGTCACCAGTAATTGTGTTACCACTATAAAGTCAACTACCTATCCGAATGATCGTAACATCTTTTACATAACGAGCTTGTCTGTTTGGATCGTTCTCCATTCTCACGTAACCTTTTTTCTATCTAGGTTTGCTTGGCAACAAACTTGATAACAGAGTCGTTTTCAAGCTTCATAAATTATTGGAAGAACCGGACAATTTCCCTGCTCTGGTATGGACAGACTTCCGAAACAACAAAGGGATTATTACTATTCCAGGAGCCTTCGTACAGCTTTTAATGCAACGGAGGTTAACGTTTAACGCTGAAAAAGAGGAGACACCAGATGAAAGAGTGGCCATCAGTGTTCAAGATGCCATGAACGGAAAAGTGTGTTAGGGCATTTATGTCATTTATATATTTTGAGAATGATTATAATTATGATTTATTCACAATAAATTACTGTTACTTATTATATGCATATTTATAGCGTCTTTGATATTGCTTTGACCCCATTCTGAAAAAGTTTGGATCATATTGGTTTTGGGACGGGACATGCGGTAGCCTCGGATGAACTATTGACCAACGCAGGCCGCAAGTAATCAGGATCAGTAAATGAGAAAACGGGACTTCACAAAAGTGACAATGATTAGAGTAACTTTGAACTTGGTCACATTGTTTGGGTTTCGGTTTTGACAATTTCCTTTGTACGTTTGAGGTGGTAATAGGGACCTTACAATCCGACAACGGAGACGTCCATGAAAACGTCGCTGAAAGATAGACTTCGCGCATCCTTTCAGACGTTTTCGCGATTATCCCAATTCGCCCTGTTACTTAAAAGAAGGGAATTTTGGTTGGAGCTGAAGAGAGGGGGCCGCGCCCGAGTTTAGATTAGAATTTATCGCCTTGCCGTTCCCGTAATCAAGTAAACTTAAAGTGTGGTCATTTCACGTCGTTGTTGTGCAGGAACAGCAAAGAAATGTACAAAAAAGCGTGATGCACGTGCAGAGTTGTTGTTTTACTCATTGAACCTATTGTTTTTTCGACAGTCTCCTTGCCGTCGCCGTCGTACTTTCGTAAGGTCTCTCTAATAATTACACGACAGTGACGGCGATGATAGAACAAAGCTGAAGCTTAGTCAACTTATTCATTATCTGATACATTGTTCGCAGATAAGTGTTTTGTAAAGTTTAATTCTTTCCTCATTTCCGACGTTTTTATATTAAGTTAAGAGTTTTTTTCCTACTTTTGTTTTCTGGATTTCACCCAAATAAAAACATTTCTGCCGATAAATTTTACCAAACAGTTCATTACTTTCAACTTTAAGAGAGGCCTGACACGTCCAATAGGCCTCCATAGCTAGACTCATCACTGTCATAATGGTTCTATAATGATCGTGCTTGAGATTACTTTTAAAAGCAGAAAACAAAGCGACAGTCTCTACATCCAGGGATGGAAAATAGCTCCCTTTCACCTTAAATTGATAAGGAGATTAAGCAACGACGACTTAAAAAGTGAATTCGCGCTGCCTCAAACTTCATCGCGCTTATCCTATTATCATCAATTAAAGGAACGTCAATGCTTTCCCCATCGCCTAAGACATCTTGACAAATTCACTGTAATCAATTTCTCCATCTCCATCTTCATCGAGCATATCCACAAGCTTGTCAAGATAGAAGTCACTCATAACCTTTAGACGCTTCATTCCGTCAATGAAATCCTCTCTAGACAGGCTATCACGGAACTGACAGTCAGGATCTAAGCGCTTGAATAAATCCGAAGCGTGAATCTTGTTTTTATTTAGGTATACTTTAAGGAAATCAAAAGGATTCGTCTCTTTCTTCTTGCTCACAAATGTGTCCCTCTTTTTACAGCCGTGATGTACCACCAAGCTCTTTCCTCGCTTTTCCAAAACTCTTTTAAGTAAAACTTCGCAGTCATGGTCCAGCTTTATGTTCAGAATTCCCAGAAACTTCAATGCTGGAGCACCATTCTTGTTTAATATTTCAAAGATCTTGTTTACTCCTTGACAAGCGTTGAAAATTAAATTGTGGTTAAGGTTCAGTTTCTCTAATTTTTCACTCCCTTCCAGTCCTTTTGAAATGTTTTTTAAGCCTTCATCTGAGAGCCTGTTGTTACTCAAGTTTAATTCTTTGATCGTTGAATTTCTTTTCAAAGATTCCCCGAATTCTACAGTACCAATGTCGTCAAATCCATTCCAAGAAAGATCCAATTTTTCTAAGGAGTCGTTGTATCGTAGGCTCTTAGCAATGGCCTCTGCTCCACCCCTACGAATGTGATTCCAGCTTAAATCCAGTTCAAGAACGGAGTTGTTGTAAGTAAGGGCATTTCCAAAGAAAACTCCAGAAGCCTCCGAAAGCTTGTTGTAACTAAGGTTCACGTAAAGCAAAGAACTGTTGTTCTCGATGCCTTCAGCCAGCATCTCAGCATCCTTGTCTTCCAACCCATTACCAGAGAGATCTAGCTTTCTTATGACAGAGTTACTTGGTAACGCTTCTGCTATGGCGTTGATCCCTTCTCGTCTGATTTTGTTGTTCGCCAGATTTAGTTCAGTGAGAACCCTATTCTTGGACAACAGTTTCCCAATGCATATTCCACCCTTTATATTAAGCTCGTTAAATGCCACGTGTAATCTGGAAGTTGTTTTGTTTCCTAGGAGAACTGAGGTAATCGCTCTAGTGCCCATCCCTCTCAGAAATCGATGATTAATCTTTATTTCATCTTGTCCAATTTCCCTCTCGAATCTGGACACCGGGGTAACCCCCAAATCTTCACATACCCTCAGATACGATTTCTTAGCGGACTGAGTTTCATCCTCATCGGAAAGATCATCATCTTCGAGGTCTGTGTCCCAGTGTGAGCTTGTGAACGACTGTGTCTCGTCCTCCTCATCGAGTCTTCCTTCTGGTCTCAGGAGAGCAAGAGTTGAATCCACTCGTTTTATTGTACTTGAAGCACTTGAACACGTTGAGCGCACACTCGGTGCTTGGTTGATCGAAACGTTGTCAAATGAATGTCTTCGTGGCATGTCTGTTTCGTCGAGGAATCTACATTTGGAAGCGACAGAGATTAATTCAGTTTCTTTAAGGAAAGCTCACTTTCAGAAAATTATGGCTTTCAGACGGAACTTTTAGAAAACTTCAAGAAGCGTTAGATTCGTGAAGCTTTCGTGTTAAATTTGTAGCCCATTTAAAACCGTACGTAAATACTCACTTTGAGTCGCACTTATCTTCGAGGTAAAAGGAAATCATAGAAAAAGTATGAGATTTTTGGCTTTAGAAATAAAGTAATTACAAAAAAAAAATTGAACAACGATCGAAGGTCCTACTGACAAGTTTTTAAAATATTTAATTTCCAGTGGCAGGAGTCGGTGTCTTTTATTTAGATTACACTTAATTCAAAACAATGCGTCAGTGACCTTAAATCCATTCTATATTGACCGATGTTAAATCGCTTAGGAAATTTAATATCTTCTCTCGACTTCACACGGAAGAAATAGATGTAGCAAGTGCGGATTATTGACTATCGGGAAAACAAATTACAGTCTCAATTTTCATGTACCAAACTTTTTACCTTGCAAAAATTTTTTATGTGAGTCAGTTTTTATCTCTGTCGAATGAACAATCTGGTTCTAAAGTCAGTGTAAACAAACCGTTTCATTCTGGAAGCCTGATATGATCGAGTTATAGCAGGCTTGTGAATAGTAGAAATGGATGAATATAATTTCCATATTGCGTGGTTTCAATCTTTCAAAAATGGATGTACTCTTTCAGATGATACTATTATAATATTTTACAATGTTTGCGTCAGTTGAATACGCCCATGTAGTTAGTTTAGGAGTAACATGTTCCGCATTCAAAAGCATTTCAGTTGAGGAACAAGAAGTGAAAAAGAAAAAAAACTATCAAGACTTACCTTTATGTCAGCCTATTAGTCCTGAAAAACAAAATCCTAGGAAGGAACCAAACTTTTCGTTACAAGCTGATCTTGAATTGTTTTGACGGAACTGCGTACAGTTGCTAGGCTTTTTGATAAAGTCGTTTGATTATTCCATATTGACCTGAATTATTGTTTGATAGCCTTAGGATTAGCATCTTTTGTGCCAGGGTCTCTTGAGATAAAATATGTCATTTATGCAACAGCTTTCTCAATTGTGCTGTTAATTGCAAATTAACTTAAAACTGGCCAAGTGAAAAGGTCATCTGCTTTCATAGCAAACTAGGATTAGTTTTCGTTCTTTACAACAATGCTAATATGCGTCTGTCTGAACTTGCGTTATTTATCCAGTGTGAAGTCAGATTTGTTTCGGGGTGGGGGGGGCAGGAAGGGGGGTGATTTTATTGGACTGAAAAGAGCTCAAGTCTAAAAAACGTAAAATAAATAGAACGAGGCTAAAATCCAGCCTTGAACGGTCAAGCTTGGCCAGTAAACGAAAAAAAAAAAAAGAATAATGAAAGTTTATTCTCCGTAAAAGGGAATTGAATTTTTCCTCAGCGTCCTCAGAAAAAACACTCCCAGATGGTGACTAACCCCTGTTTAAAGTGTGTTCTCCTACTGTTACAGTCTCTTTTTGGCGTTTCTCGCCGTCCACTGCGCTCGTGCAACAAAAACTCTTTTAGGACCTAGCTGGACATAAGTATAGGGTTGAATTGATCTAAAGTTGAGTGGGAAATTTAGTTTTGAGATTTGTTTGCATGTATAGCGATATACTTAGAGAACAATTAGACAATAAATAAATAAATAAATAAATAAATAAATAAATAAATAAACATCCAGTCCAAGACTAATCTCAGTAAATCAAACCTAGCCCTAACTTATATAGGCAATATTTAGCCATTTAAACTGTTTCCTGTCGTCTGTTGCAACAGGTCTGGACAGTTTTCGTTCTAGGCATGCAATGAAAAATGGAAAAGTTGGACTAACTTGTTCAAGTTTTAATACTGGAATCACCAAAAAAATATTATGGCTAGTTCTCCTTGATGAAACTTGTTTGGTAACTTCTGTACAAGCTAGAGATTTTAAAGAGTATTTTGTGTATAGAGCGCTTTTCAATTGAGTGTCGAAAACCAAAACCAAAGTAATCACAACGGCCAATCAGAGTAAAGGAAATTATCAGAAGGAGCCAATGACAACTCGAAGTAAACGCGTGTAACCGGCCTGTAGCGCGGGAAAACGCGAGTGACCAAGGAGCGATTGGTTTTAGTTTACATCTGATTGGCTGAGAGGGTGGCGCGAGTTTTCTAGACCAATCAAACAGCACAGTAAAGCAAAAACAATTCAATCCTGGATTACTTTCAACACTCAATTGAAAATTGCTCTAGGTAAAGGAACTAAGTAATGACTTTAGCGCAGTGGTAACCAAAAACATCAATATCGTCGTAACATAGCCCTATTATATTTGCTCTTCTTCGAATTCCTTGAACAAAGATCAGAAACGTCAACAATAATTCATAAATTCAGCTCTTTCAGTCCCTTTGTCCCTACTAGCTAGAGGTGATTGACCCTGAAACCGTGTTCAACTACCTTGCCTTCCTCCAGCTGGTAATGTGCCGTTTACAACTTTGGCTGCGCTTCAGAAAAACTGCACCTTACGGTCTAATGGCGCATATTCACGGACTATTAATTCTGACGAACATCACACTGTTAAACACGACTGTTATATTTACTTCCATTATTATGCTATTCCCTACTCTACTGCCATTAAACTGCAGTACATTATTTTTACCAGAGTGATAACAATACATGTAAAGGGTCAATAACCGAATTAACCTGTTGTATTTCAAAATTCCGCAGTTCGTGAGAGGTTGCCGTCAACTTTCACATTACAGTTACTATTTCGTATTTGTTTCGACTTGATTCCTATATTTTACTATTATTGTTCCTTGTTTCATCTCTTTTTAATTTCCTTGCACCAAAGGATCAGTCAATCGGGTAAGGTTTTTCGTAAAACAATTGAGTGGTTACGAAACATTCACATTGCATAATATTATGAAATAATTTTTTGCTGAGCCTTAGGGCGGGAAAATACTCACTGTTACCGGCCTTAATGTTTTGAAGTACAAAAGTTTTAAAATTCTCATCAGAGCTTTTGCTATGTTATAAACAACGCAATTGCTCAGATGCTTAAGATAATCTTAAGTCGGTAATTTGTAACTGAATTAATAACGTATCTGACGTGGAGCACGTCAAATGTTTCTCGGCAACATTAACGCCGATGAAAGGCCTAGCAAATAACACTTTTTTATGCCAACGACCTATGCCGTGGTATGTGTGTGTGATTTTGTCCCACTGGTTTCCTGATACTTTGTCTTTTATCCTCTCCAGCTAGCTGTGCAGCCCTCGCCCCTTCAGCTGTTTTCGCTTCAACTGTTATGGGTCCAAATCCTACAGGTGAATTAACAAGCGTCTCTCCATCAGAGTTAGGAATGCGCTCCGTTGTGTATGATCCTCCCTGTGTGATTTCTTCGCGTCCTAAAACTTCTGGCTCTGATGCATCCAAGCCATACTCTCGGAAATCGTGCAATCGCCTGCGAAACTGAGGTTGCCGAAAAAGTCTTCTTGACAACGATGGGTATCCGTATGTCAGAGAAGGATGATGGAAGAACGATCTGTCTTGAAATAAAGTTTTTGGAGAAAAACTTCGAATCGAACCTAAGACATTTTGAGGGCGTGTAAGACCATTGGAAACTAACGACGGCATTAAGTCTGTAGGAGCGAGGGTTGTGGACATCATACGCGACGTCAATGGTGAAATCGTGCGAGACGATAACGCAGAAGATGGCCCAACATCGGAATTTTCCAAGGGTGACACAAGAGAAGATGTCATATAACGGAGTGGCGTTGACTCTAAGGGAAGAAGGTTTCCAAGCTGTTGATACCCTGACATACCCAGCTGCTGCATGCCTGCAGACTGCAACGCAGGTACTGACTGCATTCCCACCGGCTGGACTGCTAAGGACTGTGCTGAGATAGGCTGCTCTTGCATAAGCTGCTGCAGTTGAAGCTGACGTAATTGTGGCTGTGCGGATGGCTGAGTGACCATAGCCTGTAACGGTTGCACTTGCTGGAGCGTCTCCAGAGCTGGAGTCAGAATGAACTGTCTCTTGTAATCTTCTGATGCCCCGTCCTGTAACAAATCATCAACATTTCCAGATTCTTCCGGCAAAATTGGCTCTAGCAGAGTTTGGCGTTTAACGTCAACTTTCCTTTTTTCCTTTAAAATCTTATCTCTAATTGGTTTCTTTTTCTTCTTTGATGACGCTCCAGGGACCTTGGATCTGCTCACTAATGGAGATCGCTGCAACATGGGTGGAAGTGAGAGGTAAGGGAACATGGATTGCTGGTAGCCCAGTGAAGATCCTGTGGACAATAAATAAGGCATAAAAAATCAATGCAACCCTCTCTACTCAAACTAAGCTCAACTCGTTTCCTAAGAAGAAGGCTCTGCATCTGCAGGACATGCCCCATTTCATTTTCAAATTGTGTAGTTGGATATCTTTAAATCTTAGCAACAATATTTAGGACAAAACAAATGTTATGGACGATATCTCTGGCCTCTGACATTATTTTATACGATGAAAATTGAAAGTAACGCTCTGTTACATCGAAACTATTTGATGAACTTTATGCATGATTTTTTTTATTATTTTTTAAGTTTCATTTCAGCATGTTTGAGCCACGACGTAGCATTCTAGTTCAGTACTTTATAAGTAATGTAATGTAGGTTCTGATTTTAAGACATGTTGTTTACTGTTTGGATGCCTACAACTGTTGAGCTCAGAACACTGGAGGAAAGCTAAATGATCTCTTTCTGCCAGGGAGTGTTAATAGGAAGGTTAGATATTCGTAGCTATGGTTAAGAACATTCCTGAACAGGATTGCTGGTCTGAAAGAGTCAAAATGTAAGTCAGAGGGTCACTAACATTTCCCTTCAGGACGACACTCAAATGGGTCATCACTGTATTTTCCTTCTAAATGCTAAGATCTGAATACAAAGGATACAAAACTTATAAGCTACAACACCGTCCAGTCGATTAAAAAAAACAAACGCACACACACATACACACTGGGAACATACCAAGTAATCCCTGGAGAGGGTAGCTTTGTGACCTATAAAGCTGGGATAATGGCGAAGGAACGTTTGCATTCCCATAGCCCATCATTGCTTCGTTGTACTGAGTTGCTCCTAGCGTTGAAGGAACGTACCCCAACCCACTCTCCGCGCTGAAACGGGATGCGCCACCAACACCCAATACACTTCCATATCTTAAACTTTGCGCCGCGCTTAACATGCTTCTTTGTCTTAAAATAGCATTGTACAAGGAGGCCAGGCTATTTGAATCGCTGTTAAGTCTTTGGTAACCACTCAAAGCCTCGGAATTCTCTGGATAACCTGCAGCTGTTGGAATAAGTCCTCTTGTCAGGCCAGTCTCTTGGAGACTCTGCTGCGTGGCTAGCTGTCCAGGTGATGCAAACATGCGGGCCTGGGAATTCTGCCCGAAATTGTAAGGCCCTAGGATAGAATTTAACGGTAAAAACTGACGGACGGGGGTATATGATAAGCCTCTATAAGCATTAAGACTGCGCAGAGCACCCAACGTTGACGGTTGAATAAGCTGAGGGGCCGCGAAGATGAATTGGCGCTTGCGAGATGTGATTCCCTTTTTGTGTTTGTGCGCTCGGGGTATATCAGATTTGTGGGTTCTGACATTGACTTCATCTTTTCTGGGCTTTGGGAACTTCTCTCGCTTGATTCCATTGTAGAACCAATTGTTACAGTAAGGAAAGTGAAAGCAACCGTGGTAAAATACGGCTGGATGGTGATGAACGACCGGTGGCGGTGCATAATGTTGTGCCAGATGAATCGATGGATGAAATATGGGAACAGCGGGAGTACCGGGTTTGGCTACAACTTGAAGAGAAGCCGGCTTAGCGTTAACTTTTACCCCAGCGGGATTCGCATTTACTTCGATCTCGGCGGCCTTGTCATCGACTTGAAAATGCGACGGTTCACCAGTCTGAGTCACTGTGCCACCATCCTCAGGGAATGGTCTTGGTTTAACGCTTCTATTACAAGCGAACAAACAAAGAAGACAAAATAGCAACCGAACGCTATCACCAAAATTAAACCATGTCATACTTAGATTTGGCTTTCAATTTAAGAACTTGTCAATAGTTTTGTCTAAAGAAAAGCCACATTTCAGAAGCTTAGAAAGGTTGAAATTTTGCCTCGTTCTTTCCACTGGATTGAAACTTCTGGTGACATCATGACGGGTTATAAATGATAAATAACTTTTATGCACTCTTCCAACAAGTGGCTCAATTCTATCTGATGAATTTCTCTCATCATCTTTATAAATGCCATTTTTCTAAGAACACAGGGGCGTTTCTTTGTGTAAAGAAGACGCAATAGAAGACAGGGGGTATTTTGTAGAACATGTGTCTGCCACAGGAATTTACGCCATCGAAGGGAAAGTATAAGCAATCTTCTAAACTAGTCGATGATAGAATGGACATGAAGCGGTGTTAAAACTATCACTGTAGTCGCAAGTCACAATCACGTCAACGTTTTTAAAACTTCCTTGTGTCAGCTTCGTTTTATAATATGTGTTTTAGTATCGAACCTCACAAGGGAGCGTTGGCGATTTGCTTAGTAGTTCAACGTTTGACTTCTGCTTTAAGAGAGAGGTTGCAAAATTAATTAGTAAAACCATACGTGACGTCTTGAATCTACCACTGGTTGCAATTCACCTTTCGTAAATCAATTTCTTGATTTAAAATATTACGACGAATAGACCAAATTGGTTTAAGCCTACTCGCGAATTCATTCACAGGCTATGCGTGGTAAAAGCTTGGTCTCCGATCCATGGTCAAATGAAATCCCATATTAAGGGACTGCCACGGTAGTGCCGTCTATTTTGTTTAACTTTGTCAATTACAAGCTTCAAAAACAGCAAACAATCTAATTCTATCATGTGAATAATCTTGTCGTAGTAACATAAATTCTGGATGTGTTTCCCGAGCTTTACAGGTTTTAAAAAGATACTAGTAACAGAGATAAACTTCATTAACTGAGTGGCTTAGCAGGTTTCACTGAGAACCCCAATTGTAATTCATAGCAACCTTCTGGAAATTTGGTCCATCTCGACCTTCTGTCCTACCAAAAGATATGTTACTTGAATGTCCCTTCACTGTTTTGGGCATTGGTTTGTATTCAACTCGTCTGGTCAGTAAGCTGTTTCTATCAGTTGGCTGAAGTTGGCTATTTTGCGTCACAAAACTGACACCTTCTTTTATTAGGCATGCTAGAAATAATCAAGGAATACAACAACATACAGTATTTTACATATTTTACAGTATTTTCTTCTTTACTACAAGTGTCTATATAACAAAAGAATACGTTGTGATACGACGAAGGAACAAGATTTTTAGGTCACCGGCACAGAAACGCCACTTTTTCCACGACAGTTACATGTAGGTCCGCCGCGCACGGTCCACAAAGTATATAGACTGTATGTATTGCAAAGATCACCTGTGATTCGAAGGTCGAGCTTGTACCTGAAGAGCACATTCTTCATTTTATTAAGTTACTTATTTTAAGAGAGGCGAGAAAAATGTATTTCAAAGCCTCATTAGCCTGATTAGTGTTCATAAAAATTGATGTCCCAGCAGAAACAATAAGTATAAAAAAACAATTGAATCTCTTCGCAGAATCAATTTCCTTTTCCAAGGTAGCAAAGCACGAAGGGTTAATAGGATGACGATGTTGTGGTTCAATTTTATTCTTGGTTTAAATTTTATTTTCTTTTGTTTCAAAATCATTACCGTACAATACCATACCCCAAAACAAAAGAAAATAAAATTTAAACCAAGGACAAAATTGAACCACTTTAATTTTACGATATACGTCATCAGCTGGAGAGCACCTGATCGTTTGTTCGGCCCATGTGATACATTCAGCGTCAGTGTACGAGGAATGTGTCATGGTTGTCTCTGTTGAGTGGTTTACAGTACAAGCTGTTGATCTGTTTGATTTCAATAAAGCGGTATCATTTTAAGCCTATCACAGACTTTAGTAAGTATTCTGTAAAGGCATGCAAAAGCACAGGAGATGAAAAGGGCGGAAGTTGCTGTCTCTTTCAGTTTATGCATGACCATGCTTGGGGGATGGGGGAGATGTTGATTGACAATTATTAAATCTCTTGTAGGTAAGGTCCCATTGTTTACCATCTATTTCCCGTCCTTTAAGCCCTCTCCTTCCCCTTCCCCTCCCCCTCCCCCTCCCCCTCTTTCATTTTTTGGCTCTCGCCTCATTTCTCGTGCGGCCAAAACAGAGAATCCCGTTCCTCGGTCCTTCTTTGCACCGAAACAGCACGGAAACGCTTGCTACGCAGGCTATAGACCACGTAACAGTGTAAAATTCGCTACGAAACTGATGAAAATGAATTCGCTTTTATATTTTCTCGTGAAATCTTTAAAATTGACGTGAGGTACTGTCCACTGCCCTCACTCAGGTTCACGATAGCATTATCATTAGTCCCCAAATGGCGCCCGGGGGTATTATCATAGCCTTCCAAAGTCCCAGGATCATTGGTCATTAAGTACTTTTTTTATGTCAAACAGACCTAAGTATGGGGCTGACTATTTACGAACTATATATGAACATTGCAACAGCATGTCAGTTACACTTTCCTAAAAGTTTCCAGTGTCGACTAAATTCTCTCACTGACATTATTGATCTGCTAAGGAAGCGGAAATTGAAACTTTAAACAGCGCCCTAAAAGACAAGTGAATGAACTTGAAGCCATTCTTATCAGAAATCGTTAATTTTATTTTGATAGCAATTATTTTAAACAAAATAGATAACTTTTTGTTTTTCGGAGTCCACAAAGGATCACTTAAATGTTAACCGTACGCTGATCTTGCCTCGGGAAGCCCCGGGCTCGGTAGGAAAAAAATCAAGAACATGGGGGCGTTGTTTCATCCATGCACAGTTCGCTATATGTCAATCTCCACGGGTCTTGAGTGAGAGTCCTTTGGAATCGCTTTGAAATCAAATCATTCCCTTGATCGTAGAGAATCTGTGAGTAAATTGGCCACCTTTTCAGCTGTTTGGTGTCTTAAGGGCACTTCTGCGAAAAAGGAAAACGAAATATCGTTATACAAAGCTCCCACCAATAAAATTACAGTAACCCTGAAAGAAATAATCTCTAACAAAGTCAATGCGCCATCACTCTGTCCGCCAAAAGTTTTTCCTTTTTTCTAAGAGTTCAACGAGGGCGCAAAGCATGAGAAGGAGAAGGAATTTACCAAGCGTCACCCCTTACCCTATTGGTCAATAACGTTCCCTTAACCAATTTGTCAATAACGTTCCCCTTATTACTATTATTATTATTAATAATAATAATAATAATATTATTATTATTATTATCATCATTACCTTTGTCCTTGTAATTATCAAGTTAACTTTATTAGTATATTATCAATTTTATCATAATGATTATTATTTTCAGATAGGGCCACAACGACCCTTAACGATAAAAGTGAAGGTCTGAAAATACGCTAAGAATTCTCGTGCCCAGCGACAATGCAGTTAATTTAATTTAATCAATGTTTGATAACGCTTGATAAAAATGCGGTGATGAACTGTAAGTTTATATCTGGTGTGAAGATATCAAAGGAACTGGAAGTTATGCAAAGAGAACGAATGATGGGTCTAACCGAAATCTATTCCTATTACGTTACTATTACTTAACTACTTTTATTATTCATTCAAAATATATCCCCGATTCTGATTGGCTAAAAGCACACGTTTAATTCACCATAACCAGTTACTGATGACCAAATTTGGAAGAATTTTGACTTTAACGACGAAATGACGTCAAAAATGCAGCGTCTTCGCAGGTTAAGGCACCGTTAACCGAGAAGACCTGGGGACGAGGTTGAGTTGTTTTGGTTGTGAACTTGAAAAAATGGCGGACATTTCACTCGTTTCAAGAGAAAGAACTAGGCGAAAAAATAGCTAAAAACATGGCAAGAACAGCAAGAAGACAACTCGAAGGGCGACATCTGCTATTTCGAGAATATTTGCGGAGCTGGACAAACCTAAACGTACACTATCGAAGATGAACTGAACATCGATGGATCGATGGAGGTAAGCATGTTTTAGCTATGTTTTTAAACTAGGAATTATTTTGAATGAATAATAAAACAGTTATTGAATTCGGCTTTCGTATCATATGAAGAATTATGGAGATCTCGGAGGGTGTTATCCGGATAACACCCTCCTCGATCTCCATAATTCTTCATAAGATACTCAGCCTCATTCATTAACTGTTAATTATAAAAACTTTTCATGTGAAACAAAATTTTCGCGATAAAGTGGGTAAATGCCTTTTTTCTTTTCTTTGATGATGTACGCTGGGTTTTTTTAGACCGAGAAGCCAACAGATTCCGTGGGGGCGTGATAGGCGCAAGAATTTTTTTTTTTAAATCTTCGGGGTATAACTTTGTTTCTTTTAAAGGCATGTCACTAGGGCCATTTATACGAGGAAAAATAAGACGCGTCTTACCTAAGACGCGTCGTATAAACAGCACATTTCGTCTAAAATAAAACGCGGCTTAGCTAAGACGCGTCTTATTAGATAAGACATGCTCGTATGAACGGTACAGTTCGCGTCTTATTTAAGACGCGTCTTATTTTTCCTCGTATAAATGGCCCTACTGAAATTAATACAAGAGGAATATTTTGGACTAGGCGTTTCTATGGTTACCAGTCACGTGACTCTCTAGTGACGGATTAAAAATCAAAACTCCCAAAAGTTTCTTCTTGATAGGTATGTAACCTTAAACTGTGATATACTTTGCAGAAAATCAGTGCACATAAAATTGAAGGACTTGTCCGATTTGAATTCTCAAATTTTATTTTTGTGGCGTCACAAAATGAGCTTTTTGGTCATGCGCAGTACTGATCCAAAAATGAAGACTTTGAAACAATAACTTAAGAAAAATACAACAGTGAAAGTCTCCACTCGCTATCTTCCATAGTTTAAGAGATATTGGTAACATTCCATGCATATTTTAAAAAATAGTTTGGACAAATTTATGGCCGATTTTTAGCACTTTTTTCCCAGCGTGATGTATTTCCTGTCGCTGAGCAATATTTCAACCGAACAACAAAAACACTGAGATTGCTATAAAAACCAGATAACACAAATGTTTTAAGTACTCTACTCGCGTTTTCATTGAATTCTTTATAGACGCAGGAGCCTAAGGTGATATTTTTGTCCATTTGTACCCATAATAATTTCTTAAGAGCAAAATTCATTTGTCATTAATAATAAAACAGGTATTCACTTACGGTTCGGTAAAAATGGTTTATGCAAGTCACTGGTTGGTTATCTCCAATTTGGTGAATTGTTTATTTTACACTAAAAGAACCATATACAAATTAAATGCTTTAACTGATGGGAGTTAGGTACTGATAGGACTTTACACAGTTTACTCGTTTATTAACGAAAATGTCAAAAGTACGAATATCTTTTAGCGGCCACAAGGTAAAATTAATTAAGAGTCAGAAAAAATGATTGAATATATATTGGGTGAGGCGATAAAAGTACCTGTTGCAAAACAAAACTATCCATTTGTTATAAACCAAAACGGAAACAACGGCTTTTAACTGTAGCCTTGCACGGTTATTTGTTTTATATCGAGGAACTTGTTTCAACTATTTCTGCAACTTCATAACAAAAGAAAATAATGCAACCTGGGTTAAAAAATTATATAAATAACATTTATTAATCAATCATTTATTTTGTAAGGGTTAGACGAGAAATGTATTTTTCCGAATAAAAAGTTCTTACTTACCATTTTATTTAAGAACCACTTTCTACTGTTGTGGTTGCGGAATCTCTGTTTTCTTTACAATGGCGGCATTCAGCCCTTCATCAAGAGGTTTCCGTGTGAGGTAGCCTGTCTTTGCCTTCCTAAAACTTCTAGGAATAAACGAACGTGGGACAGCCGATCTCGCTTCTTCTGCCCCTAGACCTCCTGCCATTTGTGATGCCATTCCACCACCCAGCCCACCAAGACCTCCAGGTAATTCTCCTTCAGGAGCACCCTGTCCGCCAAGACCACCTAAGCCTCCAGCCTCAGAGAAGCTGTTGGCGCCCATAGGTGGCCCTTCATTTCCCCCTAGACCTGCTGCTCCTCCAAGACTTGCTCCTGCGAGTCCAGCTAGGCTATCCGCGCCGGGACCCATTTCCCCTCCTTGGCCTCCTTCTGAGAATGAGCTGGGATTAAATCCCTCTCCAAATGCCTTTGAAGACAAATCTCCAAAAGGCTCAGCTGGGTTACCACCTTCCAAGGGATTCCCATGACTACCTCCCAATTCACCTAGTCCCCCAGGACTGGCTGCACCGTGTTCGCTCGGGTGAACAAATATCACTGAATCACCATTCGGTCCGGAGTTAGCATTGGAGAACATCTGACGCTTTGGTCTAACATCATCGCTTACAGATCTTGTGCTTACTTTCTTTTCCTCAACTGGTTGAAGTTTTTCCGTTTCTCCACTCGATTCGATCTGTTCAGCAGGCTTATCCTCAACCGTCTTGTTTTTGTTTTCTTCTTTTACTTCTTCATCTCCACTGGCTTGTTCAGCCTCATCCCCATTAACCTTCTTAGAATCCTCCTCTTTTGAATTCACAGCTTTGGCTATCTTTGACCTCTTTTTCCAACCACCATATGGGTGAACGATGTGGGGCTGATGTATAACTATTGGAGGACGATGATAGATTGTTGGAGGTGAAGTTACGTGCACCGCAGGGAAATGGTTTCCAGCATTTATGATAGGAATTGGGGGCCCAAGATGAACAGCAGGAACATGAGGTCGTACATGAATAGCTGGAACATGAGATGGGACATTTATCACTGGAACGTGAGGTCCGATATGGACTGCAGGGACGTGTGGTCCAATATGGACGGGAGGATAATGTGGGCCAACATGGATAGGTGGTGTGTGAGGTCCTACGTTCACGGTGTGAGGGAACGGATGCCACCCAAACCACTGTCGCTTGACTTTTTGAGAAACAACTTCACGCTTTGATTTGCCTTTTTTCCTGCTTGATTCACTTCCCGTATCTTCGTCATTGTCTTCGTCGTCTTCATCATCGTTTTCAGGTATCGTAGAACGTCCATAGAAACCAGGTGCTGCACCAAAACCACCAAAACCTGCCCCAAACCCACCAAATCCGCCAGGTGTCGGAAATCCTGCTGTAGGATACCTAAATTGTGGTTGGTGAAACACAAGGGGTGGTTGATGATACACGGTCGATGGCGACATAACATGCACTGGGGGTCCAGTTAAGGCGTTTACAGAGTGGACAGGAGGAGTCATATGAACAAATGGAACACGAGGTCTTACGTGTAGAAGAGGCGCGTTTGTACCATATTGGAGGTTTGGAATTCGAGGACTAAGATGAAGAGCGGGAACATGTGGTCCAATGTGTACCGGAGGTGCATTTGGACCAATATTTACTGGAGGACTATGAGGACCTAATACGGCTGTATGCTCGTACGGGCTAAATCCCTGTAAATGAGGGTAAGCAATAACTTGAAGCTTTGAAGGTTTGGCTTGAACCTTCACTCCCTCGGGATCAGCGTTCACAACAAGCTCTGGTGGTTTTTCGTGAACGGTGTAACGAACTGTGTTTTTGCTTGGGCTTCGTTTTTCTTTTGCCTTCTTTGAATAAACTCCGGTGGTTAAACTAAACAGCAGTGCCCCAATTACACATAGCCACAATCCCCGAAAGGCCACCATGTCGGGGAAAAGTAACGTTGTAAACAAACACGGCCTTGTAGATTAAATTTTACCACAATTAGTCAAAACACAACACACTGCTCGAAGGCCTTACTGGTCAAATCTTTATTACTTCACCCCCAGGGAATTTTTGTCATGATTTAATCTTTTATCATCTCATCGCACGTGGCAAATCGTTTCACGGAAGAATAGCAGTTTATGGCAGCGTGAGATAACACAATAAACCACCTGTAGCCATTTTTCAAAGTTGCAGGTTTTTTTAAGGAAAAGGTCTCTCACAATAGTGGAAAGGTGTTTGCGCTAATCGTCAAACAAATTAAAACGCAATAAAAATTTCACACAAAGTTTTGTATTTATAATGGCTTTCGTATAATAAGAGTAAAAACAAGGTTATTTTTCCGGGGTAATAAACCATTGCATTTGCACACTTTACAATGAATATTGGGAACCACTATTTGTCTTTAGACCTGTCGGGTTTTCTAATATGGGACCTTAAAATTATCTCAGTGCCGTGAACCTTGAATGTGCGATTTACATAACTGAATCGTCGCTACAAATTTTATTAACCATACAACTGTTCTGAAAACTTGGCGACAACCAAGTTATCGGGCTTATTAGACTTAACAGAATAATTTGTTTGGCTTATTCTATATATACAGTGGGGAGACAAAACAACTCATTCAAATGGTGTTTAGCAGTTTTACACAGTGAGAGGGTGGGCCTTTTAAGTCCGTAGATTCAGTTTATTGATCAGTAAAACCGTTTTTTAAATCTGTAATTATCATAATTAACGTACGCTCTAGGGGGAATTTACAATTTGTTTGTCAGTTAAAACGTTGTTATCCCTTTCATTGATAAAATTAAAATTGCAATCTCAGACAACAAAGCCATTGAGAACAGAATGCAGGTGGCGAGATTAAAAACACGCATTTACCTTTTTATATACAAAAAAGTTCATAAGGCATTTACTTAAACACTATCAAGTCGAATCAAGAGATACAAACGCTGTCGCTTCGAACACTATCCCATCAGCTGTCCTTTCGTCAGAGAGATTCGATCCGAACGTCTAGCGATTGAAACGTCGGTGTTGAATCTCTGTATGAAGGCTATTAACCTTATCAATTCACTCGGTCGTATCCTAAGTACATCCAACGGCAATCTTTCAAAGGATATTTTAAAGACCATCAGTTATTATTCAGCGAGTGAAATTAAAGGTTTCTCTTACATGTAGTTGTCATTATCTCGCCTCATGTAAATCAGTCTTGGATTCTCTTCTATGCTGTGAATTCTGGATTCCAAGTACTGGATTCCCGTTTCTTGTCAGTGGAACTTGGCTACTGGATGCCATCGTAAGTGTAATTCCGGATTCCTTGAGCTGTATCCCGGATTCCAAAACCCAGGATTTCGGATTCAACAAGCAAAAATTTCGCGGATTCCGGATCCGGATACCCTTACATGGGGCGAGCTATCCGTATAAGGAGTTTCTACCTTTTTTGACAGACTGATTTTAAGCCATTATAAAAAAAACAACTCACAATCATCTACTTATTTTCGTTTTACTTATTTGAACGAGCTTAATGAATATAACTAATTGCCGCATTGAAAATCACGAAAAATAAGATAAATTAGCCGAGGATATTCCGATCGAGTTAGGGGAGCCAATCAAAATTGCTATCCAGTGATTTGGTGAATATTAAAAAACAACAATAAGCATGATATAAATTCAAAACAAAGAACTAGAAGCCTCCGCAGTCCATAAAACAAGGTTGGTGGGGGTGTGCCGCCTGGTTTTTCAAATCCTGACCCGATTTCAGACCAAAAAATGTAATTTTCCACACTGGTTTTCAGACTAGACCTCTAAAATCCATACCCGTTTTAAGACCTGGGGCCCGTTTCTCGAAAGCCCCGATAATTAAAGGGCCCGTAAAGCTGTTGATGTTTGCATGCAATATAGAGGTTTTAATAGTTTTCCATCTAACATGATAAAACTATCAGTTAATGAAACAAAATGGAGTAGTTTGACAGCCAGGAGCCGTACTCTTATTCTTTATATGTCGATTTGAATATTTGATTACCGGCACTTTCAAGAAACGGGCCCCTGGCCTGTAGGCAGAAATATGTTATAATTACTTAGCCGTTAGAGCGCAAACAAAAAGTATTCAAATCCATTTCGAATTCGCATATTTCTTTTTCTTTCTTACTCATTTGGAATTGCAACGATAAATACGTTCATACACTCAGTATAGTTCCTTCCAAAAGCATACCCGATTCCAGACCAAAATGGGCAAAGTGTATACCTGTTTTTAGACCAAAACGGCGCAAAAACCCTGCCCGATTGGGTGGCACATACCTATATGGCTTATATAAGGGAGCACCCCCCCGGGACATCTGGTTACTAGTCCAAATAAATCCTCTACCACTGTGCTGCATGAGACTCGTGGGAGCTACATGCACCAAACCAATGACTGCTGGGACTGGAATGTCGAAATGTGCTAACATGCAGTGATAGGATAGAAATTTATTTTTTTCGCAGTTACCGAGAGGGCGGAATTTTCCAAACCCTGTCGCGGCTGCGCTGCTCGTTCTCGCGCCCTTCGCCGCTCGTGCACCCGGCTCGACAAAACCGCCATGCTACGCAGGCTACAAACCCTGCAATCTGATTGGTTCCGAGAGCTGGAGGTTTTTTGCGATCCTGCCCGCTAACCCGGGCGTAATCGTTGGCAGTTTCATTCACACGTTTTTTGGTTGTTTGTGAATGAGCAAAAACCGTGATTTTTAAAGTATTTTTCTTCAAAAACGTGCACTGTTACCAGCATTAGCTAGGGAAAATTGAATTTTATTATTCAGACAAAAAATCTGAAGGGAGAATCAAAACGTCAGCAAGGAAAACCACCAAAGTAACAGGCGGCTCGTGTCGCTTCTACGCTGTAAGTAAGCTTACTTACTGCAATCATGCTTTTATGCACTGTTTATTGAACATCGCCTTCTAGACTAGTGTGTTAGCTCCTTTTTAAAACCTTTGTGCACTTTTCATCCCGCTCGATTGAACTAATCTTAAAGTAATTATTCAGCCGAAGAAAACCTTTGCGTATTTTTTCCCTGCGGCTTTTGTATCAAGTTCTTCAATTCTTTCATCCTTTTTTGACACTCGGGTTATGATTTGTTTATCAAGACACACGGCTCGGGCGGTATTCAAGACCTCGGGCACAGTTTCTCCCAATACGGACCTCCCAGGAAATAGTTACAAAGGGTAGTGAAACAGTTACAAAGGGTAGTGACAGCAAACTCCAAGAAGCTCTGGATGACCTGTCGAGTCAAGCGAGTCTCGATGGGTTCCAACTGAATGAGGCCAAGTGCAAAGAACTTCGAATTGGATTCTCCAACAGCAACCACGATTTTGAACCCCTAGTCCTAAATGGCAAACCCCTTGAATTAGTCACCAGTGCCAAATTGCTAGGCGTGACCATTAGCCTCGATTTAAAGTGGAACACGCACTCCTCTGAACTAATTAGAAAATGTTCCTCTCGTCTCTATTTTTTACGTCAACTCAAGAGATCCGGAGTGGCACCAAGTGAACTGGTGCAATTCTATGTGACATGTATTAGGCCCGTCCTGGAATACGCAAGTCCTGTTTTCCATCGTTCTCTACCAAACTACATCAGTGAAGATTTGGAACGGATCCAAAGAACGGCTTTCAGAATCATCTATCCTGACCTGTCATATAGTGTAGCACTAGAAACAGTTGGCCTACCGAAACTTCATGAGAGGAGAGAAAAGATTTCAATCGATCTGTTTGACGAGATCGTCTGTAACCCCACCCACAGTCTCCATAGCCTCCTCCCCCAAAGGAAGAGTTGTAAATATGCACTGAGACGCAAAAGTGATTTCACTCTCCCCCTATGTAAAACCGAGCGTTTGAAGAAAAGTTTTATTTTTAGCCATGTCTATAAGATGTAGATAATTTTCTTATTTTCTCTTTGTTATCATCAGTATTTGTAAATATCCCGTAATTCAGCCTATGGCTGCAATGGTGTTTATAATACTATCTATCTATCTCAGCCGGTGAATAACATATATGTATTAATGGTAAATTTTAATCCTGTAAATTCATAATATTTATCCAAACAATATTCTTCAACTCATGAAAGTTCAAGCGTTAGACCTTCAAAACCCCGCAACTGGAAGGAGATGAACATTTTGACCGGATCACCCGCTGGTCATAAGGTCATGTGATAAATCTCGTGACTTGCTGTGTTTTTGAAGTCATGGCGGTCGAGTTGGAAAAGAGGCCGATCTGCTCAGCTGTTTAGCAGCTGTCTTAGGAGGCAGTCGAGCCGAGTGAGCCACTGTCTTGGTTTTGTTGTAAACACGATGTCTAAAAGACTTAAGCGACCGATATGTTCAAGCGAGGAAAGGGCATTTTACAGAATGCATCAAATCTCACTTGCAGAGTTATCAGAATAATTGAAGGTGAGTGCAACATCAATTGGTCATTATAACCTTATTTTTAACACTTTTAAGATACAGCCTATAAAACTGAAGGTTATCGCTGAAAATTTCAGGGTATGCTAAAGCAGAAAGCGAGTTGAATATATACAGTGTCAAGTTGGTAGGATTTTAAAACTGAGATAGCTCTCGGTTTTAAATGTTCGGCTGTTTCCGCTCGCTATCTCCCATTCTTGTCAACAGTAAGGCCGAGTGCCATTAGCTTTATGGGTATCTCCATGGCGTACTTCTTCAAACTAACGCAATAATAATATTTACCTGTAGAGTTGTGCCTTTCTTCAACCGTTTTGGGAGCGATCTTGCATCAAAGCGGAGACGGCCGGTTTCTCCGTCAGTTTTCGTCGCGCAATTTTCAGAGTATCAAAAATCACTCTCTTCTTGGGGAGAATTAAAAGTTGACAGTTCACCGTGACACTTTGGTTGGACTCCAATTTCCACGCTAGGAATTACGTACATATGTTTGATCTTGGGAAAATATGCAGAATTTTCAGGAGGTCACGTTATATCGGGCAAATAATTGTATGTGATTTCTTTGAAAAGCAGATTTCACATGAGAATACTTATTGACATTAACCTTGACAATCACGTTTATTTCCATTTTGGTCA